AGCAAGCATGAATCATGGACCTGCTCATTGCTGCTTTGGCTTCTGCACTTCAGCCAGTTCCCTTAAAAGCCACAGAAGCAGCTTGGATGCATCATGCGCGCGGCCACTGCAGCCACGGTTTTCTGGTGTCCCTGAAGGCAGCAGCAGCTTCTCCTGCTGGAACAGCTCCAGCACGGAAATCAGCAGGGAAGTACGACATTCTGCCAGTTACGTGGGGTTGGAAAACCTCTCTCCCCTTTTTAAACCATGGCTAAGAAGCAGCTTAAACACTGAAATGATAAATGTCAAACTACTTTAACACCTCAGAGCATGTGCAAAGTGCTTTTCTCACACCACTGAATCTACAGGATTGTTTCCACAGGTGCAGGCTTGTGACTGAGTTCTAATCCTGCCTTCTTAACCTCATATTTGATTGGGACTCCTTAGTGCATCGCATCGCTAAAAAGTTCAACAAAGACATGGGAACACAAAAATTAGAGCTGGAGTGCGACTTGCAGATCATCTTGTCCAGTCCTCTGCTCAGGGCAGAAATCCTACACCTATTTATTATTATTATTATTATTATTATTATTATTATTATTATTATTATAACATTTCTATGCCGCCCCTTGCCGAAACCTCGGGGCGGCTTACAACATGATAAAATACATTGAAATACAATAGTACATAATAAATTACCATTAAATATAAAAATACAAAAAAATACATTGATTTACAAATACAAAATTAAAATTATCAGTATAAAATAAAAATATAGGATGAGAAAGACAAGGAAGAAGTTGCCCAGGCCAGATCATATGTTTTAACAATTGAAATGATGTTTGAATAAAAAGGTCTTTACCTGGCGCCGAAAAACCAGTAACGACGGTGCCAGGCGGACCTCTTTGGGGAGTGAATTCCATAGGTTGGGCGCCACCGCAGAGAAAGCCCTCCTCCGGGTACTTACTCTCCTAATTTCTTTCATGGAGGGTTCCCGGAGAAGGGACTCTCCCGCAGATCTCAAGGGGCGGGCAGGCGTATATGGATGTAAGTGCTCGTTCAGGTAGCCAGGACCCAAGCCGTTTAGGGCTTTATAGGTCATAATCAACACCCTGAATTGGGCCCGGGCCTCAATGGGAAGCCAGTGAAGCTGACGGAGGACTGGAGTCATGTGAGCATAACGCCCGTCCCCGTCAGCAACCTGGCAGCTCTATTTTGCACCAATTGAAGCGTTCGGACCGTCTTCAGGGGAAGCCCCACGTAAAGCGCGTTACAGAAGTCTAGGCGGGAAGTCACCAGCGCGTGTGTCACCGTCGCCAGGCAGTCGTACTCCAGGTGGGGCGCAGCTGATTAATCAGCCGAAGCTGAAGGAAGGCGTTCCTCGCCACCGCTGTCACCTGAGCTTCACCACCCCCACACCCCAGAGGCGGGGGCCATCCAGCCCCTTCCAAGTCAGCCTGTTCCACGGCTGAGCAGCTCCCGCTCTTAGAAGACTTCTCCTACTGCTCAGCCGAAACCTGCTTCTGCACCATTTCCAGAGCAAGGAAGAGCAATTTTGTTCTTTGTGTTGATTTGCTCTTGCCCGGCAGCCTTTCAGACATCTGAAGGTCACAACCATTCCTCCTCCTAAATTCTCAAGGTAATAGCATCATTCAAATGGAGCAGGGCTGATTCCAGTCTGCCCAGGCCTCTGGTGAAAGGGAGCTTCAGGTGGGACGACACAAATAATATCTCTGGGGAGCTCCTGGGAAGGGCAGTCCTGTGACTACTGCTAGGTAAACAGCAGTGCAGGTCCCTTCTAGGCCGGCTGAAACTCACCTCTGCTTTATTATAAAAACACAGAAACGAAGTGAGTCAGAAGGGGCCTCCCAGGCCATCTAGTCTGACTGCCCCGGCTCCAGCCGGCTCTGCTCGTGTAATCCCCAACATGTGTTTGTTCAGTCTTTCCTTGAACACCCTCACAGATGGGTCCTCAGTCACCTGCCTTGGAAGCCCATCCCATATCCTAGGTGTCCTAACCAGCAGGAAGGACTTCCTGACACCCAACCTGAAGCCCAGTTCCTTGAGCTTTGCCCCACGGGAATGTGTCCTGCCCTCCACGGCAGGGAAGAACAGGCCATGGCCCTCCTCCACCTGACATCCCCTCACATACCTAGAAGTCGCTAAAAGACCCCCTCAGAGTCTTCGCCAGGCTGAAAAGACCCAATACCCTCCATCTCTCCTCACACGCCATCCCTCCCAGCCCGACTCACGTTCTTGTGATCCCACGTGGAACCGACTGCAACCTAGCGATCTCTCTCCCATCATGTGGAGCCCAGCACTGGCCGCAGTGCTCCAGCTGTGGGCATCCCAGAATCGCGTAGAGGAGCATCAACACCCCCCTAGATCTGGGAGCCACGCTGCTGGCTAGACATCCGAGGGCGGAGCTTGCCTTCTTTAACCACCACCTCACACTGCTGGCTCATGTTCAGCCTGCTGCCAGCAGGCACCGATCCCCTTCGCACATGCGCTGCTCTCCTGCCATCCTGTGCCAGTGACACCTATCCCTGTGTCCCAAGTGCAAGACACTGAATGCCATCCTGCTCTCCCCTGTCCACTTCCACAGCCTATCTAGATCCTGCCAAAGTTGTAGCCACTGCTCCCACTTTGGAATCATCCCTGAATTTAGCCCTCCAGGTCACTGATGAAAAGGGAGAACAGAATCAGTCTCGGAACTGAGCCCTGGGAGGCTCCGCTCCTCACTGGCCGCCTTCCTGATGATTCCCCACTGACAGTCACCCTCTGATTGCAGTCCGTCAATTGTGCCCTAATCCATCAGACAGTGCATTTCCAGAGCTTTCCTTATTATGAGCCTTTCCATCATCTTTCCCAGAATGGACATAAGGCTAACTGGCCTTAATTCCCCATATCCCCTCTCCTACTCTCTTTGAAGATTGGATCCATGGCTGCCAGCCTCCAATCCTCTGGAACTCCTCCTGTTTTCCACGAGGCCTCAAAACTGGAGGCTAATGGAGAGTCCCCCTGCCAGCTCCCAAAGCACACTTGGGTGTAACCCCTCAGGCACCTTCATAACATCCAGGGCCCCAAGGAGCTGCTGAACGTCTAGGGGAGCGACTCTGTGCCCCCAGAACCCCAGCCTCATCTGCCCCCCCTGGCACATCTCCCCCAACCTGCTTTGGGGAGAACGCAGAAGCAAATGTTCATTTAGCATCTGGGTCTGTTCCCTCCTGTCAGTGCTCGGATCCCCTCCCTCTCTTCTAAGCTGCTCCACCACCTGTCTCCCCTTCCGCTTGCTATTTAAATGAAAGTGGAAGCCCTTTTTATTGATCTTTTGCCTTCCTGGTGCAAGGGCTGAAAGTCTGGTGGGGGTGGGGTCAGTGGGGGTGGTTCATGTTGGTTCCAATGAAATGGGGAGATGCAGTCATGAGGTCCTGGGAATTCAGGTTGCCGGGTAGAAGGTTCAAGTCCGGGATCACCAAGGTGACTTCCTTTGAAGCGCTGTCTATTTGGCACACAAAGGGCCAGCTAGACAGGCAAAGCTGAGGAGCTGCACACCGTGGATGAGACAATGCTGCGGAGAGAAGGGGCTCCGCCTTGTCAGGCACCGGGAAACACTTAGAGACAAACTGCCTGTCCAGGAGGGACAGGCTCCGTTTGAAGCAGAACAGAAACAGGCTCCTGGCGCTTAACATGAGAAAGATGGCTGAGTCTAAATCCTAGCCCAGCCCTCTCCCCTGGCTACACACTGCTTTGGGCAAATACACAGGACCTGAGATGTGCCCAACTTTTCATTTTTTATTCTTCTCCAGCTACTTTCAAGCCTCTTATTTTGGGGTCTTGTTTAATCTTTGTAGCTAAAATTACCAATACAAGAATAAATAAATGTGGCAATAATGATTAGCTGGATGCAGAACTTCAAAGCAGAAACTCCACCCCATCAATGGGAAGCCTCAAGGAGGAAGGATATACAATTTACCACCAGTCAAACTTTAAGAGAAATTTGGTATACCATGTATTTTCAGTGGTATATTGCCCCAAAAGATATTTTTATTTTATCTTCGATTTATATCCTGCCTTTTTCCTACAAAGGACTCAAGGCAGCTTACATTTCTCCTCCATCTTATCCCCACAACAACAACCCTGTGAGGTAGGTTGGGCTGAGAGTCTGTGGCTGGCCCAAAGTCACCCAGCTGGCTCCATGGCTGAGCAGGGACTCGAAACCACTACGCTACACTGGCTCTCCAGTGATATATAGAAAATGGATAAGAGGTATAATGGAAAACATTGGAAATGTAAAGAAATTGGTAGATTGAGAGAGGTATTACTGCCACTCTACACAACTCTAGTGCGCCCGCAACTAGAGTATTGTGTTCAGTTTTGGGCCCCTCATACAGGAAGGATAGAGCCAGGTTGGAGTCAGTGCAGCGCAGGGCCACAAGGTTGGTGGCCGGTTTGCAGGGGA